AGACGCCCGCCGTAATCAACTGGCCCAACATCCTCCATAATCATCCCACTTTTGACCGGATCGGTACCGGTCGACTGAAGAAACCCCACTACCAAATACTAGCAGTTCGTGCGTTTTGGGTGTTTGCGTGTTATTTGAATATGCGTTCAGAAAGTATGGCATTTTTACTCTCGTTGTTGTCCCTCTAATTTATTTGTCGCTGGATATCAATTTTAATGAATTGTTTTCGTTTTTTTACTCTTTTCCTTTTCCTTTCGCAGGAGCAGAACTGTCTGACCAACGCCAAAAACTTTTGGCTCATCTGAACTGGACAGTTAATGGCATTATGCGCATTCTGCTGCCTTCAGGTGGGCATTATTTCGTTGATTTTTTTTAATATGGTTTCTTTATCCAGCCGCTTCTGTATTAATGTTGTGCTAACTAAAGTTAACCGTTTTTACCATCGCTCCCCTGCAACTTGACGTCAGTCGCCTGGTCTACTATCGTTCCAAAGAATCAAGACGCGTGTCACCAAGCAACATCCATCCTGGTTTGGATATACAGGGTTTATGTTTCTGCCCCCTTACTTTGCCGACATTTTTTATTATCTATACTTAAAGTGAAAGTGTGGCTGCTGAGAACAGCAGCTTGCAACTGCCATACGGTAAACCTGCTACTCAAATCGAGGGTTGCTTCCTAAAAGACTGTGAAGCTGATGCAAGTAACTATCACGGTGCGCGATTGTATGAACTTTCGCGGACTAAGTCGCAGAATCCTGCACTGCTAGATTCTTACATGTCAAGTTAGATGCCGAAATCCCACCCAACTCATTCGCAGGGTGTATAATCAGCACTGTAAGTGCTCAGCCCTCATCACAACTTCGATTGAAACCAATCAAATTCTACTCTATCGGTCCTATGTCATTGCATATATATAAAAGAGCCATGCAAAACACTGGCAAAACACGGTGTGGGATGTCTACTATAACCTCAGGTGTCAGTGATAGTGTTACAGGGATACGAGCGGAAGTGCACCCAGGGCCTATGGCCGAAAGCGCACGCAAGTTGAGTCAGGTG